CCGTTGCCCAAGGGCTCTGATGTTATTCTGATCTGCGTCCAGGACAGTTGCAGGCTCTGCAGTGCAGCGGGCAGCGCCGCTGCCGGGTGGCACAGCAGTCAGAGCTGCCCCGCTGTCATTAAACGTGCGGCAGTGTGCAGCGTGTTACAGGAGGAGCTCTGTGAGACACGAGGCAAAAGCTTGCAGAGGGACCCCTCTCTCAGTTTAGTTAACGTGTGCGTCCTTTAGGGTGGCTGCTTTGGGAAGATGGGTAATTAGCTTTGTGTACAGTAGCTCTTCCTGGAAATCTCTCCTGGTTCACCGAGGGTAATGTCACAGAACAGGAATAGGGGGAAGGGTTGAGGAGGCCGGATGGAGACAGAAGCGCGGGGCTATGCTCTGCACAGGCTCTCAGGTCTGGCATGTTTCACCTGAGACAGGCCATCTCCTGCACTGGCTTAATGGGCTTCTGGCTGATATCAGGCCATTTGTGTGCTGGGTTTGGGCAGGGTAGGTTCGTCTGGGTGTGGAGCTGGAACGTCAGTGTGTGGTGCTTGGAGGGGTGACCTCAGCTATTAGCACTCTGCAAGTCAGGGGGCAAAAGCATCTCATCCTGAGCATCTGATATGCAGCCTCACAGGAAAGGAGTTCTCAGGGGTATCTGTTCAAAGTCCTGTATAGGAACTGTTGCTTTTCAGGAATTTAACTAGGTTTGGAGATTAAACCTGTGTTTTAACCTTTAGCTGACTGACCCTCATCCATAGCCCTTTATTTCCTGTATAAAGGATAAAGACCCTGCAGCAGGAGGATTGATCTAGAACCTCCAGCCATAGCTTAGTGTTGTTCTTAATGTAATGGTAATGCTGATTTAATTAAACCCAGCCCTGGCCTTTGTCCTGTCCCACTTGATTTGCACACATGCGCTCTGTGTGTCATAAGGAAGTCTCCTGCCTCTCTTAAATAACTTCAAGCGGCAGGAACGAGGACGAGGGGGTGGATGTGGAGATACCACACGGAGGAGTTATCCATGGAAGTGTCACAGTCAGCCGACTGGCTGCTGCCACCTCTCCCCCAGGACATCCAGTTGCAGATGTCCATCTCCCATGTGCACTACAGGCAGTCAGCACACTGTACACAGCCCTCTGTAGGTGGATGAGTTCCCTGGAGGTTAGGCCTAGGCCTTGGCCTCCTCTTGGCCCTTGGACACACCCACAACCCCTTGCTGAGATGGCAGAGAAACTTGCAGGGGCTGAACATCTTTTATTTTGCTTTTCAGTGCACAAGGAATCCAGGCTGCACTCCTGAGATGGGGCTGGGGAACAACCAGCTCTGACCAGAGAACTGGAGTCTGTCTCCTTTCCTGGTGGCTGACAGCAGCCTGACCTGCATATATGGAAGAAAAAACCCTTGTTGGAGGCACGTGGTTTCCACCTGTGCAGGAGCTCTCCCTGCCCTTCTCAGCCTCAGAGGCCTACAGTCCTTCCCAGTGGCTCCCAGTTGGTACCCAGTCTGTGACTAAGTTGGCTAATGCATTTCTTTAGTGTGTGACCTAGGAACGGTGTCCAGGGAGACTTAGATACCTGAGGTGATGTTCAGACTGTTGGTGGGAGGAGAAGGTGACTAGAGAATGATTTCACATAGTCTTGGTCATTCCCAAACCAAACTCCAGAGGTTTCCACATACCGTGTGACTCATGGTTGGCTCTCAGGAGTTGATGGTACTGAATTCACTGGAGATCAAAGAATATGGAGTTTTATAGCAGGTTATTCCCAGTCAGGGAAAACACCGAATGGAAATGTGGTGTTGAGTGTTGTAACCCCAAAGTATTCCTGATCAGCTTCTTTCCCTTCTGCCTGCATCTCAGCAGACAGAGAGCATGAGATCCAGCCTGGCTTCCAGCTGATACCAGCCAGAGGAATCGCTGGGGATTATTTTTGCTGGAGTTGTAGGAGAGCTTTGTAGGGGACCACAGTGTCCTAGTTTGGAATCTGAGTGCAGTGATGAATTGGGCACCCATGTTTATAGGCTCCCTGGGGCAGGCTGTCTCATCACCTCTGCATGACAACAGCCAGCACAATAAAGGCCTGATCCTCACAGCATTTTTTTTTTTTTTTGGTCACTTCAGTAATAGTAATGATTAACAGTAATTATCAGGACAGTAATGGGAGTGTTCCATGATGCTCATGGATGGGGGAATTCCACTAAGCGCACCTGCTCCCATGCCTAGCTCTGGTTGCCAGGCCAAACAAATACAGTGGAGACCCGTGGCGCTTTCCTAGAGTTGTTTCTGGAGCATGTGCTGGTAAAGCTGGTTTCAGGTGAATTGCTATTTACTGCATCACCCCTAATGACACACTGCTCCTGTCCAGGGTGCCCCAGCTCCCTGTGCGCATGGCTGGCACGCAGGTGACACTGTTGTAGCCTAAACATGGAGGCTGCGGGTTGCTGAAGTGCTGGTGGTAGGAGCAGGGCCTGGAGCACAGGGCAAGTCACAGCTCAGGGCAGCTTCTCATTCAGCAGGCCAAGCACAGGTTGGGAAGTGCCTACCAGCTTGCTTTCAACCTGCTACACGCTGCGGGAGAAACCCCATTTCTTCCACCTTGGTCCTTGCATATTCTAAACAATTCATTTGGAGCAAAGAGGAACAATTTCTGGATATATGGACAGTGCTGTGGGGGGAATTGGGCTTGGTAACACCCTTTAGAAGGGTACAAATAAAAAGCCTGCACAGGTTGGTTTAGCAGCAAGTAAAGGCAGAAGCCGTGGAAAGACTCCACAAATGAAAAAGGCTGCAAGCCCTCGGAGGCTAAGAAATCACTTAGTGTGGAGCACCAGGCTGTAATTAGGAAAGGGAAAACACCAGCTAAGCATTATGAAGCTCTTGCTGTCTGTGAGATGTGTTGAGCCACTCAGGAATTGCCCAGGAGAGAGTAATGGAAAAGTCACACAAGCTAGAAGAATGAAGCTTTAAAAACTCTCCTCCAGGGAGGAATCCAGGATGAACTGGCAGACTTGTCCACTTTTCATCGCCATCTTCTGAGATGGAGGACAATTAGCTGTTTGGGCTTTTTCTCTTTCTTTTTTAAGTTGCTAGTTAGTTAATAGTGTCCCAAGAAGTTGCCTAAGAAATCAGTGAATTTGGGGAATTGCCTTTTTTTTTTTTTGTAGCAAAACATCTGTGTTGTCCGGTAGCTTTGACCTCATGCTGCATTTACAGGAAGAGGCATCGGCCACTCTCAGCCTTGGGTGCAGTGTTTTGAACTCTCATAGTTTATAGGAGAGACTGGTTGTTTAAGAATGTTTGACCTAATTTATCCCTCAGATTCATGGCAAATTTGAAACTGACCTTTAAATGGAGTAATTTGGCTCAAGGTTTTCCTTTCCTCGATTTCCTGCAGACACTCACATCTACGTATCCCTGTTAAGTACATTCCCTTCTTAGGGCATTTATATTCCCACGAGCCTCAAGCTTCTGACCATTTAAGAATTTCATAAAATCATAGAATCATTTAGTTGGAAAGGCCCTCTTAAGGTCATCAAGGCCAACCATTCCTCCAGCACTGCCAAACCCACCACTGAACTGTGACACTAATGCCACATCTACACATCTTTTAAATCCCTCCAGGGACTTAATATTCATCTTTGCAGTTCAAATGAAAATGCTGTCAGGAGTGAGCTGCACTCCAAGTAATGTTCAACCTTCTGAGAGTATTTCTTGAGCATCTCTCATGCTGTGCAGTGAAAGCTTGCTGTTTGTAAAAATCTTACTGTTTGAAAAATGTTGGCTGATTTTCCCATGAATTGATGAAAATATTGCTTTTAGTTACTTTATGCCTGTGTGTAGCAGTGTCGAGTGCATCACAGCAACACTAGGAACTTTCAGCTTCAAAAATGCTTTCTAAAAAAAAAATGTTGATTTGGCAAATAGATCTTGTTCTCAAGAGCCAAATCCAATGCAGATCCATCCTCACAGCAGCAATTGATAAATCTGGGTGCAAGTCCTAGGGTAAGTAGGTGAAATAAGTGTTGTAGTCAGTTGTCATGTATGGTTTTAGTTATGTAAAAACATGTAGATAAAATGGCAGTTCATTGCTGTGAACACATGTATTCTTCTACAGCAAGTCACTCTGAGGAAAATAGAGGCCACAGAGAAATCTACATTTAACCTGGTTTTCTTGCTCTATAAGGTGAAAAGGGTGTGTTGTTCGTAGACAGTGCTGTGTTTCATCAGTGATAGATAAACTAACAGAGAAAGCTCGGTCTGTACCCTTGCAATAATCATTGCTGTGAATCTGCTGCTCTGTCCCAAATGGGGAGAGGAGTGCTTGTGACACTGAGAGGGGCTAAAGCACAGCGTGGACTTGAGCTGAGCCTCTGTGCTTTGAGAATAGAGATTTTCTTTAAATGAAGCCCATTACAGAAAGATGAAACAAAGGTGTGCACATGATACTTGTTTTCCATATGTTCAAATCTGAAAGAGGAAATTCCAATGAATTGCTCCAATTGTGTCAGCGTTACTTGGTATCTGGGTACCGGTACAAGACTATAATTAAATGTTGCCTTTCAGAGGATAAATCATGCAGGAATTTAGGGGTGAAATTAATTATAAAGTGGAAGTTCTACAGTGATGCTGCTTTTTAAGGCATCTGTAAGCCCACACACCGAAACACTTTGCTAATCACTGCAATTCCTTCCTTTACTCATTATGAACCCTGAGAGAGCAGACAATAAAATCCTTAATAAGGGGCATCAGCCCAAATTAAAGAAGCAACAAAAACAGTCAAGTGGCATGAAAAAAGATACCATCTGTATGACATGACCCCAGTGCTGGGAGGGAGAAAAGGGGAATGAGAAAAAGATTCCAGCTATATCATGTCCCACTTACTGTGGCAAAAAATCTAAAGCTACTTTCACACTGAGCTTTATTACGTTTATCCTGCCAACTCTCCTACTATTTAGGTCATTAATAAGTTGTGCTGACATGCAGTTCTGTTGTAACGCGCTGCCTTTTTTCATTGCAGCATCTGCATGCCTCTGTAGACCTAAGAAAATGCTCCCAAAATAAGGAGGAGTATGATTTGTAAGTACCACATCTATTCCAGCCCCCTGATTTAATGCTTTCATTACTTAGAACTGCTATCTAAACATGGAGTTGTGGTATATCATATTCTGCAGTATCTTCTACAGTTAACTCCCTTGTATCAATAGCTGCTTATATCAGTAGCTGCTTATAAAATGGAGAAACTAAAGGTGACTGAGTGATCAGTTGTTCCAGTGCACCTCAGTGCCAGGACTCAGACTCCTTTCACTCTGAGATAGGCTGGCATTGGGTATCGGGTGCCTTTACTGACGATGGAAAGCGGTAAGGCAGGGGAAGAGGATTTTTCCTTTAAAAGGGAAAGAAGTAACCAACATTGCTGAGCAGTTTGTTAAGTCAACACACACTTTGTATTTCAGGCAAATGCATGCAGAAGGGATCTGATGGTGGGAACCCCTCAGCCATCGATGGTGGGGTGTAAGCACCAAACGAGGCTTTGCCTGATGTGGCAACGGGAGTGGGTGGGCTTCAGTGGGATGTTTTTTTAAAAGTAGCTGTAACTGGTTGGCTGCTGTTTAGGGAACTGGAAGATGTGTTGCTTCCAGGAACTGCCCATGCTACTGGGCTGTGACAAGGCCGAAAGGCGGAGGGGAAATGTGGCATAAACACCCCCCGAGTTCATGCCCATTGCAGGCAGCCCAGGTGCCAGGTGAGATGCTGGCATTCCTGAGGCCTGTGCTGTAACTTAATAGACCATTTCTGCCCCCGGCCCTGGGGCTCCTTGGCAGCCCCACAGATGTGCTGAGGGTCACTTCAGAAATGCCAAGAGATGGGAGATTAGGGTTGGAAGCACGCTTCCCACTGCCCACCCCGAGGCGTTTTCCAAGCCTTGGTTTAGGCACAGGTGGTGCTCATGGCAGTGCAATGGCTCAGTGGTTCTTTGGGCACCAGCTAAACCTACCCGAGCCTCGTGCCATTACACTTGGCATGGATGCAGTGAAGGCAAGCGAAGGCAGCGGTGCCATCAGCCGTGGGCATCTAGAGCCCCGGGAAGTCCCGGGCATCAGTGCCTTGGCCAGACTGCTCAGAGGGGACAGGTGGTTTTACAGCCCCGGGGACTATTTGCAGACATGCTTGCTAGAACAGGGATATCGAATGTACCCGGGGAGCAGCCGGCGGCCGGAGGGGCCAGGGCTGCCCTCCCCTCCCCGCCGAAGCGCCAGGGCAGCCCGGCCGAGGCGCTCCCCCTACCCGCCGTCGGGGCATCGCCCGCGGGCACAGGACCGGGGGCGGCCAGTCCCGTGCCGTCCCGTGCCGTCCCGCTGGGGGCGGCGGGGCAGGAAGCGACAGGAGGCCGGGTCGGGCCGCTGTCCCTCGCCGGGCGGGCCGGGTGTCGCCGCCGCGGGGCCCCGCCTCTCCGCCGGCTCATAAAGATGCGGCCGGCCGCCGGCTCCACACTACTCCTGCCTCCGCCGCTCGCTTTCCTGCCGCCTCCTCTGCTCCCCGGGGACCGAGGGCGATGGACGCCGGCTGCCTGCGGGCCCGCAGCCTGCTGCTCTTCCTCGGTAAGCGAAGAGGGCCCGCTTCCCGCGGTCAGGGCTGGGAGGGCATCGCGTTCTGGGACGGGCGTTCTCAAGCTACTGGGAAATCTGTGTCAAAGCTTTAAGTTCAGGTTGCTTTAGGTGAAGCTGATGTGTTTGTCTCCGAGGTGAAGTCACAGGTAGTGACAGGTGTACAGGCGAGGTTGTGTGAGTTGAGGAGCAGATTACACACTCCATAGTGTGTTATGGGATGTTTTGTTGCTTGTGCGGTGCCTGGATGTGCTCTGTGACATTCTTTCCCCTTCTCCCCAGCTCTTCTCTTAGTGCTGTCAGTTCTCTTTCACTTTGTCCTGTCCTGTTTATAGCCTGATCCTGCTGCCTTCACCCAGACCATGAGTGAGCTCAGCGGGTGAGTCCCCACAGGAACGGAGACTTCCTTATGGTAACAAAACAGGTTGTGGCCTCCCTCCGCTTGACACTTCTCCACCTCCTCAGCGGGAGCGTGTAATTCTATTGTATGACATAAGCTACCTGAAAATCCAAAGTGAACACGTGTATCCTTAGAGCACCGAGAGTCCTCGGGCCTGGGTGTGCTGTAATGCAAGAGCTGATCCTTGTCACACACCTCCACAGGGCGCTGGCAGTGACTGGCAGTGACTGCCGAGAGCTGACCCTGTCGGGCAATGGAGCCGTGTGGACAGCGAAGGTCTGAGGCAGGACCGAGGCCTGGCACACTCACTCCTTGCTCTAGTGACAAAGCATATTCTCACATTCACGGTGTAGGGGCCGAGATCATGGTCAATGGAGGGACTCTGTTCCGAGACTTCACTTTTGAGACAGGTGTTTCCCTCACCTGCTAAGCCCGCTATAGCATGAGTTTGGGTCTTAGATCTTGGCCAGCTCTTTCCATAACAGCTGATGGATCAGCTGCTGCACAGCATCTCACTTGCCAGGACAGCAGGCTAAACATCTTGTAGTCTGTGACTCAGCCATGCTTTGCACAAAACTGGCACCGAAAAGAACTGGTATGTCCTCGTGGACCTGTGTATGGATTTATTTGTTTCCGGGGCAGGCACAATATCTAATAGTAAAGGATAGATTAGTCATAGCTAGGTGGCATCATAACAAGTGGTGCGAGCACTTTAGTACCTTCCCCTCCCAGGGCAGGAGTGTGAGCAGAACATGGGGCTGCTGGGAAGGCTGTCTGTTGCTGGTGTTATTCCAGACTGGAAGAGGTTTCCTGCTGAGTGGCTGAAGTCTGTAACTGAAGTGACAGCCATGTCAGGTTTGTATCCTGGCTCTTGTGGGCGTATTGGCTGCGCAGCAGAAAGGCAGTGGTGGCAGAGAGCTGTCGCTCACTCCTGAGCAGCCACGGTGTCTTGCCAGCCACGTGCTCATGTGGTGGTGATGGAGCCAAGCCCAGGCTCTTCCTTTTCTGGGAACTGCTGCTGGAACCGTGGCACTGGTCTCCTTGTGGTCACTGTAATGCTCACTCAGACCTCGGATCTCCAGACCCACCTTACGTTTTCCTGTGTCACATGTACCTGGCCATCAGCAAGTGGGCTGAACATAAAGGTTGCTGAGTCTGGAGATGGGGAAGATGTTAGGGGCTGATGTGCCTGGCTGGAGGCAATAATGGGTTTCTGCTTCTTTGGTGTAGGGATCTCAGCCCCCATGCAGGAGGTGAAAGCAGAGTGGCTGAGGCACGGGGGCAACCTGTGAGTAAGATGACTGGTGTATAGGTCTCCACAGGGGTGGAAGCAGTACTGGAATGACTGGGTGCACATAATGCGTAATTATCTGCATTATCTGTGCTTAAGGGCAAGTCCTGGCACAACTGAAGATGATTGTGTGGGCCTGTAACAATTTTGGAGCAATAGTCTTCCCATGACAGGCTGGTGTTTCCAGGGCTGCCTCAGAGCTGCTGTGGCCGGGCCTGGGCATCCATGACTGTGAGTATGCAGTTCTGCAGTTCGTGTAGTAGGGATGCTCACAAAGCCACTGGGACACACTGGATAACATCCATTTTTCCTGCTTGATCTACACTAAGAAGGCCTTAGACAGTCAGACGTGCTCTGGATGTCCAAAATTTGGTGATGGGGGGGTACACTGCAGTTAAAATGGGCTGAGATCCTTCAGGTGTGTGTCACCTGGACACCTCTGCACTTGGAATTGCTTTGGAAGTGCAACCCATTGAAGAGTGTAGGTGCTAACGCTGCAGCAGAAACCACAGAGATGCCAAATGTGAAACAGCATCATGGGCTCTTCTTCAGGTGAACTAGTACAAGACTGGTGCCCCTAGTGACAGGCAAAGCCAACTCAAGTGGTGACTGACCTCTCCAAAACTTGACAACTTGCCTCTGAAATGGGTATAAATCTTGTAGAGTAGTTACTGTGTCTCCCATGTGCATCCTTCATTCTTAGTAGACATCCTGCCACTGGAAACTCCAGCTGGCTTTCAGTGGATAAACTCACAATTAGCCCTTGCAGGGCATCTCTGATGGAGGTTACAGGAAGCAAAGGCAGCTGGTCTCTGTCCCTCATTTTCCTTTCATCCCTTTTGGAAGGAAAAGCAGACAGCAGCATTGTTCCTGTTCCAGTAAGTGCTGTTAGTGTTAGCCTTGTGGGAATACCTGGGATGTCGGATGCCAGTGATGTAGCAATCCGTATAGCACTCACATTTCTGCAAGGCACACGTGAAAATCCACCACCTCATTACTGTTATCTCATGCCCTGTATTTGCTTACTGAAAGCAAAGGAATAAAAATATAACCTCTCCCAGGTGCTGTGTTTGGTATACATCACTTGATAAATATCCCGGGAAAGGCTCTCCTTTGCCATTGCCGTGTGCAGATCCCTTATCCTCCCAGTGATGTCACAGGAGAAATATGTGCATGGGGGAAAGGGCAAAATAGAGCAGTGCAAAGCAGGAAGAACTTTGCCCAAAAGCAGCAAATACTGCTGGGTGTCAGCAAGTATCACACCTGCTCTCCAGCCTCTCCAGCCCCGTGTGCCTGCTTTCAGGTGGAGGAGGACGTCATTCATTGTGCATGGCTGGGATCCAGCAAACCTTTGGGTGGTACTGGAGGAGGAGGTTATTTTTAATTTGTCCTTCACAGGTGTCTGAGTTGTGGCCTTTCCTCTAGCTGGAAAGTGAGGCTTCCTTCTGGGGCCACGGGGACTTGTCTCTTCCACGGACCTGGGCTGGAGCTTCTCAAATGCGAAAGCTGGGTTCTGGTAACTCTCAAACTGGGAACTTCAGATTAAAAATCAGCTGCTCAGGTGATGCTCAGGTCAAGGGAGTATGCAAACTGACACAAAAATGTGGAGGCTAGAGGAGATCCTCAGCTGGCTTAATCCATCTGCTTAACAAGCGGGTGTCTTGGATACCTCTGGCATGTTTTGCCTTGACTGCTGCTCATTAATGTTGTTACCTGTTTCTGTGACATGGTGTATCCTTGTCGCAGGACAGACCTGTCATGTGCCATAGCTCCTCTCTGCTGAGGGAGCAACTTAGTCTGTCAGGCGCTCCTGAAATGTCTCTCTAGTTCCTGGGAAGGACTGACTCGGTAAATCTTCTTTTCCCAGCATCTCTGGGGACCCCAGGTCCCTGCTGAAGCTCAGTCTACCATTCTGGCAGTAACTGAGAGCTGCCAGCATCTGTCAGCTGATGTTTGAACACTTGAACTTTCTGTCATGGCAACTCAAACTGGCCTTACAGAAGTGTTAAGCTGCTGCCTGAGCACAGTGCTGCTTTAGAAAAAATCCCACCCTGAAAGTAAACTTGCATGTCCTGCCCCATTGGAGTGAAAGGCAGGTCCTGCTGAGTCACGCCAGCAGGCACAGGAGTCTCCGGCTTGTGCAGGTGCCAGCATCGTGGATCTGATACCATGGCTCTGGCCCTGCGGGGGAGAGCCCCATCTAAAACTTGGTGGAAATCTGGCTTCTTAGCTTTGCAAGGAAGGTGGTTTTAAAAACTCAAAGACAGGAAAAAACCCTGTCCCTGTTAGATGTTCCTGCTGTACTCGTATGTAGCTGGAATGAAGGATAAAGGAAGCCTACTAATCCCCCAGAAATAGATGAGCTGCCGGAAATCCATAAATCACCACTACTAGATTTAACCCTGAGATGTAATGAAACTTTCTAATAACTGGAGTTGAATTAGAGTGATCAAGAAATTATGGAGGCACACTCCCTCCATTAGACATGCATGACCTGACAAGTTAATAGAGGCAAACAGCCCAAAGACACAAATTACAGACTTCCGTGGAATGGGGCTGATGACTAAGCAGTTCAGGAGCAGGTTAGTTTGTGACCACAGCGGGAATGTTAGCCAAGGGGATTTTATGGCCAGCTGGGGAAAACATTCACTGTTTCTCATGGGCAGGCCACGATGCTTGTGAGTACTTGTGCTGGCCTTCAAATCCTGTTTGGAAATGTCCATTTAACTAGCAGAAATTCCTGAAAGTTGTGCCTGTTTCTTCTGGGGTTCTGCTGAGATTAGTAACAGTGGCCCAGGGCCCAACAGGGGTAGATGTTAGTGCAGGAACTGTCCAGCCTTTCAGCTGTCTACAGCAAGGGCAGGGCTGAGGGAGCTCTTTCATGGGAAAGAACAGCTTTTGTGTTAAGCCTGCTTCAAGCAGTTTGTGATCTCTCAAGCCAGTGATGGGGTGTGCTGAGTCACCAGCTGCACTGACTTGCAGATTCCTCAGAAATTCTCTTCCTGTGGACTGTTGTGACTCAAGGATATCTTGATTTTGATCAGTGAAAGAACTGCTGTGATGAATGCTGGATTGTCATGCCTAATTGTGGAACTCTGGCTGTGTCCCTTGCACAGGTGCCATGCCAGGCCAGTCAGAAACCTAACATAATCATCAAATGGCCCAATTCCTGCCCTGCTGCGTAATCTCTCCAAGCCTGTTCCTGCCCAGGTTCACTCAGCATGTGGATGAGAGGTGGTCACAGACACCAGGTTTCTGTCTGATCTCTGTTCTGCATTAAATGACTGTATTTCAGAGATGTGTCTTTGGGCTGCCTTATACAACATAGGCAGCAGATCACTCAGAACTGTGTTTTTTCAGCTTACAACACTGGATTTTTCCTACTAGGATAAAGTTTCTGTCCTTGTATTAATGAGTACAGCAGCTTAAATACTTAACTCAAAATGCATCTAGTTTTGACTATCGTTTTTATTCTCTCACAGGTTACCTACTGCAGGCAGTCCTGGGCACAACAGTGATCCCATTATGTGGGCCTGGTGATATGGAGAACTGCACCACAGCACTCAGTAAGTACTGCCCAGCTCTTTGTAACAACAGATCTTTGCTTCCCATCTTCCCTGGGCTGGCAGCCTCACTGAGGTGCCCTTGGAAATCACTTTTCTGATAAACAGCATTGCCCACCTCCTGAGGTGCTAATGAAATCTCATTGCAGTCCAGACAGAGAACAGCCCACGTGTGGCCCAAGTGGGGATAACGAGATGCAAGCCTGAAATGAAGGACTACTGCTTCCATGGGCAGTGTGTGTACATCGTGGACTTGGATGAGCACTACTGCAGGTGTGGACAGGGCCCTGTGCCTCCTTCACGTATCCCTGGGGTGGGCTTTGAGGTGAACCTGGATCTCGCTGCTGCTGCCGCTTAGCTGGAATACTCAGCCAGCCAAGTATTAAAGGCTCTCAAAAACTTGAAGAGGAGCAGTATGTCTATTCTGCACCTCAGCTGCATTTAGGCAAGTGTTAAGCACATGTGCTGCCTCCAGTGAAATCTTTGTGAGGGAGAGTCTCAGACACATGAAAATAATCACCAGCCCAACTTGGGGCATTTATTCTGATATACTTCCCTGTCCATCTGTATTTGCAGTAGTGTGAGAACCAGATCTCAGGCACAGCACCAAGGTCTCCCCTTTGATCCACCCTACAAAATAAAGACCCTCTGGGCATTTTTAAGGGTACTCCTTGTTTGCCTGAAGAATTTGCAACCATTTCTAGGATCTCATGGGCTTGTGTTACATCAGTTCAAATGGCTTATCGCTGAGGAAACAGCAGGCCAGCATTTCAGCATGTAGTCCGTGCTGCAGTGGAGCCCCTCAGCCGTGTCTCTAGTTCCGTGTCTCTCATCCACAGGTGTGACGTGGGGTTCTCTGGAGTGCGGTGTGTGCACTCGGAGCTGGTGCGGCAGCCCCTCAGCAAGGAGTACGTGGCACTGACGGTTATCGTGGTTCTGCTCTTCGTCGCTGCCATCTCCCTTGCGAGCTACTACATCTGCAGGAGGTAAGACAGGTGCCCTCGGTGGCTGAGGAAGGTGAGCCGGCTGCAGGTGTTGCCAGGCACCCTCGGAGTACCTGTGGATAGCCCGGGACACTGCAGTCCCTCAAGTGCACGGATTCAATTTGACACACAGACCTGCTGGCCTGCACCTGAAGTGCTCAGGAAAGGCAGTGTGCTGACAGCGTGGCGTGACCCAAACCGCAGGCCAGGCAGCAACACTCCCAGGTGCCTTTTCATCCCAGCATAGGACTATATAGCTTGGTTATCTAAGGACTATATAAGCATGTCTGGCTTAGAGGGTGTGTTGAGGTCAAGGTGTGAGCAGAAAGGGAATAGGAAAGTTCTGGTTCTTTTATTAGTAGTGCCATTTCCCCAGTCATCAGGAAATGGAGAACAACTGGGTTGCTATTAGCTAATTTGTTTATCTGCCGTGTTATTGTGCTGCCTGTGATATCATGAGCTTTACCATGGGGGACAGTAGTCTTCTCCATGAACAGACCCACAAGCAGCAGGAATCATTCTCCAGACTAAAAATTAGCAGTAAGCAGCTGTCAGAGAGCTGAGGAGGTGGAACAACTCTGGAGGGACAGCTCAGCTTCCCAGATCTGGTAGCTACATGGTAACCAGCGGGATTTCTCAAAGGCAGACCTAGTTGCCAGCAGGAAGACTTTAAGACAGATGTGGAATTTTCAGTGAAGAGCCGAGAAAGGAAACTGCACGCGAGCGATCTCAGACCTGAAAATGAGCACAGACAGAGCCCAGGAGCTAGAGAGTTAAAGGAGGAGAGATTGAAAACAAACTTTAGAAGGTCATACAGCTTTTGTTTTTTCCTTCCTTCCCTTCACTCCCCAAAAAGCCGTTTGGAACAACCGTCTTTCCAGAACTCACATTTGTCTCCTCTTCTCCAGGTACCGAAACAAGAGGAGACAAACAAATGCCAGTGAATACAAGGAAGTTGGTGCCCTATAGAAGAAACGCTGGCTTCATGCAGTGTTCTGTTCGTCTGGATGAACTCAGTGGCTTCCCACCTATTTAAATGTTATTTTTATTAATAATATTTGCAATATTTATAACATTTTAAAAATTTCAGTTGTTTGGTGATTCAATCAGTATAGGTCAAGCATTTTATTTGCAGTGTTTTATTTTTTTATTAAATAATACTTCCTAAAGGGAACCCTACCTAAGTGGTTCTGTGGGACAGAGATATATTTTTATAAAAACTCATCTTCTTGCTCTGGAGAGAAGAATTTTATATTTATTCTTGTGAATATACTCAAAGCAACTGTATTCCTTGAAATAAAAGTTTAGACAAAGTCAAAATATCTGCTTCATTCAAAGGATGACTGGTCAGTGGAGTCACCTCCAGCTGGTGGTAACTGGTTCCCCAGGGCTCAGTACTGGGACCAGTTCTGGTTCACATCTTTATCGCCGCATCCTGTGTTCAGATTTGGGCCCTTTACAACAAGAAAGACATTCAGGCGCTGGAGCATGTCCAGAGATGGCAGCAGAGCTGGGGAAGGAGCTGGAGCACCAGGAGCAGCTGAGGGAGCTGTGGAGGCTCAGCCTGGAGAAAAGCAGGCTCGGGGGGGAACTTCTGGCTCTGCAACTCCCTGACAGGAGGATGGAGCCAGACACAGGTCAGGCTCTGCTCCCAGGGAACAAGGGACAGGACAGGGGGAAAAGGCCTCAAGTTGCACAAGGCAAGGTTCAGGTTGGAGACTGGGAAAACTTCCAGAAAGGGCTGTCCAGCCCCAGCACAGCTGCCCAGGGCAGTGGTGGAGTCACTGTCCCTGGGGGGATTTAACAAACATGTAGATGTGGCACTTGGGGACATGGTGTATTGGTGTGCTTGGCTGTGCTGGATTAATGCTTGGACTCGATCTTAGAGTGAAACTTGAGATGGCTTGACTGAGCAGCATCTGTGAAACTCCAGCAGTTATTTTGGGAAAGAGAAACCACAGTATTGATAATAATGTATATCAATGCACTTAGTTCCAATGAACAGCTTTTAGCTGGCATAATTGTAGGAAGTCTTAAAACACAGCTGCTAGCGCAGCCTATCCAACATGACAGCAACACAGATGTCAGTCCATACCCTCAGAAAAGTTGTGCTTGTTATATTTTAGGTTACAGCAAGGAGATAGCAGCACGAGTGGATCTCTGGAGCTGAACACACTAACCTGTGGCTGCTCGGGGTGTGAGTGTAGCTACAGGAGGAAAACTGCCTCAGAAACAGATCACGAGTTCTCCCCACACTTTCTGCCCCACTGTCCATCCTACAGGTGAGAGCAGGGCAAGGAAAGGTTTGGAGTTTGGGCATAATGCAGATATCTTGTTGGCCTAAAATATTGATAGAATAACCTGCTGGCTTCAGCTACACCCCGTGTGTGGCTCCCAGTGAACAGGAAGGATTCCTGCAGCATGTGAATCATCCTTGCTAATGCCATCACTTCTCACACTTTCAGAAGATGTGAGAAAAAGCCCAACCTTTACGTCATTCCCAGTTGGCCTGCATTGTTGGGAGTTTGTGGGTGTGAGAGCTGTCATCTCTTGACTTGTGCACAGTGAGTTATCCTGTAGGGATTATGCTCACCATGCTGGGTCTGTGCAGGTAGCCTGTAGCTACTTTCTGCTACCTTCTGAGATAAGTTAAACTCTCAGCACTGGCAGTGCCGCAGACCAGTCCTTGCCCAGCCCTCAGTGCCAGTCAGTCAATGGTTAAGATGGGTTTGGCTGGTACAAATTTTTCCCTGGTCTGCCTGGACTTTCATGTCTCTCTTCAGCATCGAGTTAGAAGGGGATCGTTGGTCATTCCTAGTTAACTGGATTAACTCTGTGTCACAGGGCCCTTACTAGCTGCTCTTCAGCTTTTCACTTCCTCTCTCCTCCTGTAATCCAGTTGTGACACAGGAACCTGTTCTGCTGGGTTACTGGTGACAGCTAATGGCAACCTCAGCCGCAGCCTCATTGTTAGTGCAGCCTTTCCCAATGGGAAGATGGGCCAAAAATCGATTCTTGGAGCCTCCTTCCCTTTTTGCTATGACCCAGTTAGGATCCGTGGTGACACCTCTGTTTCCCCCTCAGGCTTCCCTGCTAGTCTGTGAACTGCTCTGGCCAGTCCCTGTTCATCCTGCAGAAACTTTTCCTGGACTCCCAGAGAGCCTCAGCGCAGAGATCCAGTCCCCACATGCTACCCTGCCTGCTCCTCTGCTCCCCATGGCAGGAGCATCCACAAAGGGGACCAGAGCAGCCTTTGTGCTGCAGCACTTGGGTCCACATGCCCCTCGCTGCTCTTGCAGAAAGTTTCAATTGCAGTGACAGCAGCCTGGGGCTTGTCATGCCTTTAACTCTTCGGCTCAGGCACATTTAGGAGGAATAGTCCACTTTCAGCTCTGTGCAGCATTTGTTTGTTTTTTCTATCTGTCTTAACATTTAGCTGACTGTCTTGATTTGGCTTGGGCTTTCTCCACCTATCCTGTTGCTCATCTGACTCCCAGCCCATAACAGCCCTTCCAGAACCTGTGTTTTTCTCTCTCGTGCACATGATTGAGAAACTGCAGAGCTTGGGGCCACATACCAGCCTGCCACCTCAACAGCTTGTGCCGGCTGGACGGAGGTTGCCAGTCCAGCAACCACACAGCTGGGTCCTGCTGACACACCCCACATAATTTGTCTCTGAGAGTGAACCTCCCTCATTCTTTCCATGGTTTCTGCTGCACCGCCTCCATCCCTCTGGTGCAGCTCTTCCTCGCCTGCACCACCCACTGCCAGACTCACCTTCCCCGTGGTGAGAGCACCTGTGCTGTGCCTCTCAGGTGGCCCTGCCTGAGCCTTCCTTCCCCCACGGCTTCACCCCCTGCACAAGTGTTACAGGCTCCTGCCAGGGCAGTTCTCCCCTGCCTGTGACAAACTGCATCACAGGACAGTTGGCGTGGGGGACAGGGACTGGCACCAGATCCTGGTGCTGGAGAGACCCATCTGATGATCTGGTCATCTTACTGGTGGATGAAAGGTGACCGTCTACCTCTCCTCAGGGCCCCCAGTGTGTCACTGTGCAGGGTTTCTCCCTGAGACACTTGTGCTGGAACCTTTCTGGAGGACTGAGCAGCCACAGTTCCAATAGCAGCAGCGATGCTCCATTGGATGTCTCCCTATCCTTTCCAAACTTAGCCCATCTCAGACCTGCCCTCTTGGTAACCCCACCCTAGGGTTCTCACCCACAACTGTATATTTTATCCAAAACCCGTTCCAGCCTTCTGGGATTCAGGCAAAGGCCATCTGATTCTTGTTTTCAGTCCTGGGGCTCTCTTATCTAGAAAGCAGCAGCAACAGTTCCTCCCTGGTGCTGTATGGAAGGGTTTGAAATAAGGCTTGCTGTAAACTCTCTAAAATGCTCTGCTTTTGTGCAGATGTTTCCCCAGGTCACTATGTGGCTGACTAGTTTTAGGAGGGCATTAGAAGAAAAACCTTTTCTAAAGCAGCTACCAGGCACAGAAGTGCAGAGAGTGAGTAGTCCCGGCAATTCGAACCATCCATCATCTCTTTATTTCTTGAGGGAAAAGCTTTTTCGGCGTCAGTGGTGTGCCCAGTTACCAACCCTGGAGCTGCCCTTTCCACAGTGTCCGTGGGTGCCACAGGGGTTAAAAGCAACGCCCCTGCAGCACACTGTGCAGCTGTAGCCCTGGGACAGGTGCCCACAGCAGTGCAGTTAGCTCGGGAGTTGACCTTCCTTTCTCCAGAGGCCTGCTGCCTTTGTGTGCCTCAGTGTCTTGGGCAACCCCGGCCCTTTGTGAGTCATGTGTCCCCCTCGGCGGGTTTCCTCAGGCTGCGTCAGCCGGCCGTGTCACAAGTGTGTCGGGAGCTGCAGGAAGCCTCGCTGACAGTCCTGGGTTACATCACAGAGGTGGAGGACATTTGGACAACTGGTCCTTGTCCCCGCTGAGGCAAGTCTGGGATTGCACAGCGCATCTGGCACCTCGTCCCGGGGCTGCTCCCGTGAAGGGCAGGAACGGAGCTCAGGGAGGAGAGAAAGGAGCTTAAGTGGGCTGGAAAGATTTACAAATCCTGTAGTCACTGCATATCTGACCTGGGTCAGTAGCAGTCACCCTTTGCGTCTGTGCTGAAGAAAGGGTGGATGGGTGGATGGACCAATAGACAGAAAGAAGGAGGGAAGAGAGGACAGATGTAAGGAAGGACAGATGGAAGGTGTTTCATCAGTAAATGTAGAAGTTTGGTCTTGCACAAATAGTCATCATTATTTTAAATTGCTTCAGCACTCCCATTATATAATTCTATTCTATGTGATTAAAAGATTTCCCAGCAAAGTTGGAGATAAGGACAACTGATCAAAAAGATATTGAGAAATCTCTGTGCCCTACCCTGATGGGTGCCAGACTGATCCCTCTGACCCAGTCACCAGAGGGCATCAGCCTCCTGATAGGAAAAGCCAGTTGGGATCTAGGATGTGAGGTGCAAGAGTGAACAGGCACCAGCCCCAAGTGGGGAGCCCCGTTTGTCCATGGACGGTTGTCAGCGGTCCCCAATGGCCCTGTGACAGTGGCTCGTTCCGTTCCGGTTTGTCGGGCTGGTTGTCAATGCCCTTCATTATAACGGGAAGCTGAGGAAGTTGGACAAGCCTCACGGATGAGGAAGAGGAGCCAGTTCAGCTGCCTCTCCCAGAGCAGCTGTCATTTGCACCGTACAGGCAGAGAAATAGGGGTTAATTTCAGGAGAGAAGACTGGCTGATGGAAGATATCCATCTGATACACGCAGCAACAACAACAGCAGAGCCTACAGGTCACTGCTGAAAGGGGGACAGTGGAAACCAGGCCGAGGAGTTCTGATAAGGGGATGGAAAATCAGGGAGGAATAGGGTTTAGATGAGGGAAAGAAGAGATGGTGAGAGATTTTTGACTGTCAAAAGGACACACTAGTGAAGTCAGGAGGAAACAGAACCCAGTACCTCACAAAATCAGTGCACTTGCAGCCTCCCAAAAATCTGGAGCTCATTCAGGGTCAGTCCACCCAGTTCCTGTGAAAAGCTCACCAGGAGGACAGGAGCTTTTAAAGGAGGAAGGACAAATATCAGAAATCAGACTAGGAATCTGACTTGGGTCATTTCTTCTCCCAACATATTCACCTATTTATTAAGTTCTCCTTTGTGCTGTGATAGCTGAAATGGAATATTTCATTTCTGTTGGTTCACCACTGGTCAAAACTTGCTGGGTTTTTTTCCCAACTCACCAAGTTGTTTTGTTCCAATGAACTCATATCAAGCAGAGGGGAAAAAAGGTCTGTCCTTCAGCCGATGTCCCTGATCTCTTCAGAGCCCCGTGACATTTCTAGCGCTGGTTTCGTTCCCATCTAGCGGCCGCCTGGAAGATTACACCTCCACTCGCAGATCCTCGGGTCTTGGCGTGGGACATCCGGAGTGTCATCCCACAGTGGCACGCGCGAGACTTGGGCGTCGGGATAGGGGAGAGTGGGGGCCCGTGACACGCCATGGGGAGTTAGCTTGGAAATTACCTGTGGCAAAGCAGAGCTTTGTTCTCATCCTGAGAACATCAGAGAACACTTCTGAGCTCAGGAATACTGAAATTTTTGTGTGCATCCAAAAAAGTGGAAATTTAGTCTTTCAGCATTTTCTTAATGCAAAATTTGGACTACTGACAACCCCAACATGGATAAAATAATCGTATTTTTGGCATAATGCCCTTTTTTGGATTAGAAATGGGAGCTGGAAAGCCAGACTTCCTAGAGGGGCAGAGACATAGCTTTGGTCAGTACTGATCTGAAATGCACAGCTTCTCTGGAAGGTTCTCATCCCTCAGAGTGATTAATCACTACTGCAAGGCTCAGTTTCATGATATGTATGGCAAAGTTTTCCTTTCTTTGCAAACCAAAGGTGATCAGCAGCTGTCAGAGCTGTGCAGCCACCAAGAGCCTTTTGTCAGCCCCATCACTCACCGCCACGGGCACCGTGAGCTCGGCCTGCCATCGGCGGAGGCTGGAAGCCATGCCAGGCTCTGTCACAGATTTTATTCACCCCACAGCCGCCCTTCCTGCAAATTCATCAACTTCAAAACGAGCTGCTCAGGCTCATGGTCTGAGAATGCAAGAGTCACCGTGCCCTCCCAGGGTTTTGGCAGTGACCTCAGCCCTGACACACAGAGCCCACCGACGGACACCCGGCATGGGAAGATCTCTGATTGCCCTGGCGGTGATTTGGCGCTCGTGGGTGGCAAGGAAATGCAGTCTGTGGCTCTCTGGTGTGGGGTGCGGGCCCCTGTCAGAAAAGGCTGTGCCTCGGCCTCCTGTCTACTTGCTGCTCAATTTATGCTTTACCTGTCAGTCTCCCCTGCGTCCGGTGGCAGGGCTGGGACAGAGCCCAGGCAGGAACTGCTTTTGCAGAGGCGTTTTAAAGCTGATGCGAGGCTGGTTGTTATTGTAGGTCAGGAGGGCCCCGAGCAGCCTCAGCTCTCCTCCCTTCAGTTTCTTCCTAAACATTTAGCGTGTTTACTTACCCTGTGGCTTCATATGTGGCACGTAGCAACCGTGAAACAAAGAATTATGGCATATACAGGGGTCGGGATACCTGAAATGGGACTCCTGAATTGTCACTGTATGGCCATTTCTGAGTTTTTGTACACAGTCTCATGCTTTTTTTTTTCAGGTCAGCTCCTTTTAGTGCTTTTGGTTTTATTTGCCACACTCTGCTAATGGGAGGGAAAAATGGCTCTCTGGCTGCAATGCTTAGTGGCCTATACCATGTGTGTTTAGATAATATGTCTTTAAATCCTAAAATAATTTATTGTAGTCAAACATCATGAACTTTTTTTTTTCTTTTACACAGAAACACATCTGTTCCAGGCAGCTTGAGTTCTTAGCCCTGCACTTCATACCTCCAGGTTGCTCTCCCTGTTGGATGCAGACCTGTACTCCTGATGAAACTTCCTGGGTGAAACCCCCGAGGAGCAGATCCGTGCAAACACTGGTGCATCAGTGATGTTGACAGACACTGACCTCTTGTCAGCAGAACACAGCTCTGGGAGTGGGATACTGGAGTCCGCCTCAAAGCAGAGCCCAGGTTTACTCCAGAGGGGCAGAGTGTGCCTCCATGCTGTCAGGCCTGGCTGAACGCAAATGTGCCAGGACGGCGTTGCAGCGTGCCGGTGTGAACTGGGTCCTGCCCAAGGACTTCAAGAATAGGATTTTCCTACTGAAGGCAGACCTGCCTACAAGAGGAAATGAGGCTGTGCCCAGGGAGCCTCCTTCTCAGCGTGAGTGTGCAATCCTTATGCAAACAAGCCCTTACTCACACGGTGTGTCTCAGCAGTCCTGTCCTGGGAACGCGCTGGGCCCGTGCTGCAGCCCCGCAGGGACGCGTGTGACACGCAGGGAACGGGGGACACAGGTTCCACTGAGGAATGGAAGCAGCTCACAGAGCCCTCACTGATCCCGCTCCAGCACGCTGACCTGAGTGCTCCAGCTGTCAGGACTGACTGATTCCAGCAGCACCTTTCTAGTTCTCCAAATGTCATGCCCCTTTGCTGGCACCCTGGTGCGGTTCAAGGCAGCCAGATGTCACGAGGGCAGGACTCTTGGTAGCCAAAAGCAGGCACCACCAGCAAACAATGGGATTTCCAAGGAAGCATAACAAACATGCCTGTGAAATAATGGAGTGTTCTCCTGAACTTCTTTGCTTGCTCATGGCCTGTGAAAAAAACAAAATCCAGAGTGATCTACGTAATCACTGTTGCACGTAGGAAGCCTTGCCTAGGCTTTGTTCTAGGGAAAAAACCTGGCTCTGGCAAAGGCGAGAGGAAAGGAATTGCTAATTGCTGTAGGCTTCTCCTGTGATTCATTCTTTCTTCACATACCAAATGACTTCAAATAGGTAAAGAAAATTCACCACCTGATGCACCCATGGGAAGGCGCTAGGAAGATTTTAAAGCAAAAAGGTAAGACTTAAGTTGCATTTCCAGGAGAAAATTCCCAAACATTCCTCTCATGCCCTTTATTTCTCTGCTACTCTGGACACTTTGGAAATCACATGCAATACAGAAGGCAAACATCGTGCTGATTCTGCTCCTAGGCCTCCTGTGAGGCTGCAGTCCCTCAAAATGGGCAGTACTGTATAATTTGCTCACATGCTCTGTGCTGTCAAAGGGGCTGTGATAGATATCTCCGAGGTGACTTCATTCCCCAGCCGCCAAGGTGAGGAAAGGCGTGTGAGACAAATTCAGTCAGACTACCCGCTGCACCTTCCAGCGCCACCAACACGCTTTAGGTCAGCCAGACTTTCCTGGCCAAGACCCTTAAAGGTACCTCCCACATTGTTGCCACTCCATCTATACACCTCTGCAGTGGCATTTTGGTTTGGGGAGGCTTTTTTTAATTTTAAGATTTCTGCTTTGGCTCTTTTTTAGCTGAATCTGTAAGACACTGGAGAAAAAAAGCCTCTTTTCCCAAGTGTGGGCATCATTTTTCCAGTAGCCACACTACCCACATAACTACACGTGCACTCTAAGTCAGTGCGTTCTGGGATTGAGCTGGGAGATCTCCAAACTCAGTGAACAGCAGCTTTTGCTATCTCAAGCACAGCTCCACATTTAAACATTTTTTTCTCCCCTGTTTAGAATGAGGACTTTTGGAGCACTTGCATAACGATACCGTGGCTTCATGCACCTTTGGGATGTGATGAGCTGGGTGGTCTCCTCTGCTAGGGACCATGCGGGGCTGCAGTCCTGGAAACGTTACTCAGAAGAAGGATGACCTGATCATTTTGCCCATCCAGCAATGGTGTGGTAAGCTGAATATATCAAAGATTGTATTGCAGGTAACTGGCCGCAGTAATGTTGCCTGGTAAATCAGAGTAAAGGCACTGACTACAGCAGCTGAGCTCTGGCCTTGGTTTCCTTAGGGATTCTAAGCACCTTCCCCTTTCTGCTCGGTGAGGTCAGGAGGGTGGGTTTGCTCTGTGGGGAGCCTACCCTGGGGTGCTCTTGGGGAGGGCCACGAGCCCACCCTCACCAGAGAGTCCTGGGGGAAGTTCCTGTGAATCGCCCAAGGAAGTAGAAGAAAGGGCAGCGATTCTCAGTGCTCTGCAGCATGGCAGAACAGGGGATTTTAGAGGAGGAGATTGTTAGTGGAGGGACAGCTCCCTCTTCTAGTGTAAATCCAGGATTGCTTCACCCAGCTCATGGCTTCAGGCCCTTAAAATTACTGCTGGGGTCAGGATCTGCCCCAAGCATTTGCAGATTGAGCTGTTGCACAAAAACGAGTGGGTGAGCTCTGGAGGATGTGCTTGGTCAAACGAGAGCTGCTCGGTGCTGTGTAGAGAATAGAGCAGTCGAAGCCCAGGGCACTGTGCTAACAGCAGGCAACTTCCCAAAAATCCTCCTAGCACGTGGCAGGACCGCTGTCCTGGGCAGGCTTGCAGCACGTTCCACACGCCTGAAGCAAAGCTGAGCGTGGCATGTCCGGCAGAGCTGTGGTCAGTGCCAGTAAGAGGCAATGACAGGAGCCACGACACACCCCCCATACTCTGCAAATGATGGGGCCGTGCTCCCCACTACCTGCCAGCCAGGAAGGCCTGTGCCAAACAAGTGTAAATCCCACTGCTGGGATTCAGTAGCGTAACACTCCTTAGCACTGCTGTGTGTTTTATCATTTTAGGCAGGGATGCTGGTGGCCGCTGGAGTTGGTGTTGGCTGAGAAGATACCCCTTAGTTTTTCAGGAGAGACTGTTTTTTTCATTTCTGTTGATATAAATGAGAGAAAAGTCTGGCTCTTGGCACCATGGGACCAACAGATTCTGTTCCTTTTGTTTTTTCTCCTTAGACATGCTCTAGAAGATTTTGCAGTCAGATGCGGAGAGACTATAAACATGTGGCACCAGTCAGGCTTCCCCAGAGGGAAGAATGCATAGATTATTCCCTTTCTGAATTGCTCGTGCAATTCTTGCTTCAGCCTAAGTCTCTGGGGAAGGAGTGGAGCACAGGGAGAATGTCACCATCCTAAAAAATGATTATTTGCTGAGGGCTTTCTCGGCAAGGAGGCACAGCCACCTGGACGCCTGGGTGTCTCAGAGACTGACAAACTCTAATGATTTCCAGAAAAGCAATAGCCGGTTCTTTCCTCCCCAATACCCTGGCTACACACTTATATCCCCTCTATTACAGCAATCTTGATTTACATCAGCAGGAACCGGAGTCACACATGCCTCACTTCAAAGCTCCCTCGCTGCCTGTGAGGGAGCTGCTGATAGCAGAAGATAGTGGTGTCTGCAGCTCACAAGTGAAGTGAAAGTCTGGTGAGCTGCCCAGACAGACACCACTCCGGTTTGAGTCATTACCCTTTTCCACCTGTTCTCAGCTGGATGGATGAGAAAGGATCACTCATGTTCAAACACCAGGTCAGCTGTGCCCGCCCTGGCAAAATAAACATTTGATGTCAGTGAAGAAAATTAATGGGATGGTATTTAAGATACTTCCTTTCCCTTCACGCATTTCTCAGGGGTTTTATCAAAAGTAAAGAGAGTGAATAATAAGATCCCAGTTGGCACTCGGACTCTCCTGGAAGACACGATGTCCAAGCACATTCCACCAAGGCCCAGCAGCTGTCAGCGTTGATGTCACCTTGCCTCCACAAATCGCTGCCTATGCCCTGGGTCACCGTGGCATGTCTGGGGATGGGATGGCTGTGTTCTGGCCACCCCCTATTCAACAAACATGGACAGGGTTCAGAGGCGTGAGGAGCTGGCACCGCTCTCACCTGCGCTGGGTGCTGTCTGAGCCTGGGCTGCACTGGATGTTTTCAAACTGATGATCGAGGCCCAAGGAGGGCCAGCAGGTCTCCCGAGGCTGACATTTCCACCAGCAGGAGTCAGCAGCCCATCTCCCACTGCACTGCTGGCCCATGGAAAACAAGGTCTGCTCAGGACAGATGCTAAGGAAAGACTGGCCGTGCCCATGAGTTTAGCTCCCTGCACACATTTCCTGCTCAGCTCTAAGCTGCACCCTGTTGGTTTGAGAACCTTTGGGGAAGCTCCCTGTCCCCTGGAATGGTCCTGATGGAATAGTGAGAGCAAGGGCACTCCCCGAGCAGCAGCCCCAGCCTGGATGTCCTGCTGGGAAACCCCCGGTGCTGCCGGGAGCAGTGGCTCAGTAGGTGGCACTCTGCATCCACGGGGAACCAGCACCTTCCCAAAGGGGAGCCCTGCCCAGCTGGCCCCACTGCAGTGGGGCCTATGGAATTCCACCTGGAATGCCCTGAAACACGTGGCCTATGGAGGGTGTTTTCTCCCAGAAGCAGCCAAGCAGGACTTGACCAGGACACTGCCATTTGGGAAGAGCTCCCCTGAACCTCTCCATGCACAACTGGTGGCCGTGATGACCTCGCTGCATTTTCTGGACCCTGAGGAATTGTGCTGGTTGATGGCAGGCTGCCCCTTCTTCTTGAAGGACACGGGAGCAGCAGGAGGACATTGGTAAAATGACAGGTTCAAAGCATGCCAAGCCAAATCCCTCGCTACTGGCAGTCAGTGAGATGGAGCCATCAGCTGGAGGCTGGAGGAGAGAGGGAATACGGTGAGTCAGCTGCTGGATATGCCGTGTTTGGTCTCTAAACAGCGCAGGTAACACGGGCAATTGCACTCGGGGCATTCAACCTTTCCCCCGCTAAGCTTCTCCTTCCAGCTGCTCAGCAGTTTGCCAAGTGCAGCACACAGGACTGGAATGTTCAGTGCTCAGTATATTCCAGTGTATCTCTGATAAACTGGGAGAAATATTTTGTTTTAGCACTTGCAAAAAAGGAAACTCATGAGGTAAGCTGCAGTGCCAGGCTGAGGTGCCAGCCTTGAGCATGGCAGGCAGGAAGGAGGAAAATTCCCAGCTGACAAACCTCCCTTTGGCCATTCTCACACCACCAACCCCACGGCAGAAGAGCCCCTAAATCCCAGTGTTTCTGCCTTTGGAGAAACTCCACTCACATGCAAATGACCTCTGCGCATGCCAGGCCCTGGGACTTATGGGAGACGGGTGGGAAGGGAAATGCAATCCTAGGGGGAAAGGAGGGGTCCCATGGATCACCTGGCTGCCCCCACATAGAGCTGTAGCCCAGAAGCTGCTTGGTGACTGCCTACCAATGCTCTCTATCCTGGGGCTGTGGCAGCCAAGCTGGATTTGCCTTTTCTCTGCTGCAGCCACTCTGAGGAAAGGCACAGGAAATGAGGGGAAACATGACAAAACTCCCACCAGTAAAGCTGTTGGATATTGCCACCCAGTTTTAATTGCACCGTGCACAAAGGGACTGCTGCAGGTCTGCCGGGGCTGTCTGTCCCAGGTCAGCATCCGAGTGACTGATTCAGCATCTTCTTTTCCAGACCTCTTGGACATTGGCATGACTGGGCAAAGACACTGGGACCATCTGTGTGTGTGTGGAAGAAGGGAGAAGGTTCAGTGACTGAGAGACCTGGATCCCTTCCACCTTGAGCAAAGGCTCCATCAGCTTCCTGAGCTGTAAGTAGCATTCCAGCACCTCTCAGTTAGAAGGCCCAAGTCTTCCATTTCCAATGCTTGGCAGCTTTGCCACCCACTGTCCTCCTGCCCCGCTGTGCTGCGGGACTGGAGCGGAGGGGCACCAGTCCCTTCATCCTTGTATCTCTGGGCTTCTCTGGGTTCCCACTCTATCCCAGCCCACCTACTGTCCCAGGTTTTTCCCTCTCAAACTAGTAGTTCTCTCTACAACTTCCTTAAAGGAGGTCGTAATGAGGTGGGGGCTGGTCTCCTCTGCCATGCCTGTAGGGAGAGGACTAGAGGAAATGACCTTAAACTGAGACAGGGGAGATTCAGATTAGATATTAGAAAAAAATGTTTTCAGTGTTAGGGTGGTCAGGCATTGGAATAGGTTGCTTGGGAGGTGGTAGAGTCACCATCCCTGGAGGTGTTCAAGAGGCATCTGGTTCTGGAGCTGGGTGATGTGTTTTAGTGGTTTAGGGGTTACAGTGGCAGTGTTGGTTGATGATCTTAAAGGTCTCTTCCAACCTTACTGATTCTGTGATTCTGAAGTGGGTGTGCTTCCCGCTTCCCCATACGACGTCTTGGATAGATGGCCGTGGTGAGGTGCCCTCCAGGAAGGGCAACTGTGAGGCAGAGTGCCCCCATGGAGCACATTTGTCCCTGCCCGGGTGGGTGCCACCATTTACTAAGCTGTTACTCATGAGCTGCTCAAGCAGGCAGACATAGGCACTTGGGCAAGGGGTGGGTGATCGATGGTTTTATTGCGGGAAAACGTTTCTCCGGGACACACGCGGAGAGAACAAGGAGCAGGGGAGCCAGCAGACAGACAGGTGTGCCCGCAATAACCCGGCGCGTCCCCGGCGCCGTGACCCATGCTGGACTCAGATTGCGCAGGGAACTTGTGGCTGCCCCATCCCTGAAGGGTCTAAGGCCAGGCTGGATGGGGCTTGGAGCAACCTGGGATAGTGGAAGGTGTCCCTGCCCATGGCAGGGGGTGGAATTAGGTGGTCATCTAGGTCTCCCCCACCCCAAACCATTCTGGAAATATTTGATACTGTAATCCTGGGATTCTTTGGTTCCGTGGTCCCGCCCCGCCGGCCCCGCCCCTCTGACGCCGCTCCACGTCCGCGCCCCCAGCGCCGGCCGCCCATAAAGCGGGCAGCGGCGGCGGGCGGCTCCTCATGGAGCGTTGCGCGCCGCTGACACCTGTAGCAATATTCCTTTCCCTTCCCTCGCCGTGTGTGTCGCCGCCCGCCACGGGACCGACAATGCGCGCTGTGGCGCTGATCGTGGCGCTGGCCGTGCTGGCAGGTGCGTGCAGGTCCGGGGCGGGATGGCAGCGGGGGATCTCGCACCTGAGGGCCGGGAAATCGCGCCTGAGGGGAGGGGAGGGGGGGGCGCTCGCGCCTGAGGGGAGCTGGCGCGCGGTACGGCCGTTGGCGGGAAGGCGCTGAGGCGAGGGGTCTCGCGCCGCGGGCGGGAAGGCGCTGAGGCAAGTGAGGGACCCTGAGGCGAGTGAGGGACTCTGAGGGGACTCGCCCGGCGGCAGCTTCTTTACCCCATGCCCACGGCGCCATTTCCCCTCCCTCACAGCGAGCCGTCCGGCCGCCGGGTCCTCGCCTAACGCCACGGAGCCGCAGCGGCACGGGGAGCGGGAGCCCGAGAGCCGTGAGGGCGAGCCCGTGCCGGGTCCCGACTACGAGGAGGATGAGGAGGAGTACGAGGAGGCGCAGCCTGTCCACCAGTACATCGTGGACGATTTGATCCGAGGTGAGTCGGCGGCGCCGGGGCTGGGGTCTCGCGACTAACGAGCCCCAACTTAAGCCTTATTTCTCTTATAAAGACTGCTGTGCTTAGCTCGTGGAGTATGGAGCAAAAGCGTGCTTGTGCTTGAAACCGCTGCTTTAGAAATAGCTGTCAGGAGTGGGAACTTAGCGCGAGTGTTCCCAGGACGTGTGAAAGCTCCAGGTTAGCTGGTAACTTGCTGGGTGTAGCTTTGTGTCTTGATAAACCTGACAGGACGGCTGCGGTGAGGTAGCGACCACCTGCTTAGTGTGGAAGCATCAGTGGTATTTAGAGATGCTGTTTGGCAGCATCTCCAGGTTTGTTTTACATCAGGTTATCTGTTTTGCTTCAAGAATTTTCTGGGTGTTTTCTCTTGGTGGCTTATTTGGGTTGGAGTCGACTGAAATGTCATGGGAAAGCAGACACTTAAACTCCTTAAGTGGCTGCAGGAAAGTTTGTTAAGCAGCTTTAGGGCAAAGCTTCACTGTCAATAGCTGTTGTGTGTATTTATTGTAATTTGCCCACTTGCAGAGCTGTGAGTATCCCAGGTGATTGTGGGGATGGGAATATTTTGTTGGTTCTGGGCTAAGTGCAATATGAGCGAGGTATCTACAAACAATTGGAACCTCAGTAGGTGTGAGTAGGCTGGTCCTGTTGCCTCCAGGGTGGATCTGAGTACTGCTTTTCCTGCGGGAACACTCTGGGACATGAATGAGACTAAAGAGGAGGGGGGACCTTGCTCCAGAGGGCTAGCTGAGAGAATTTATGGACTCTTGCTGAAACTGTTCATGAGGACCTCCAGGGGAAACAGGCTTGTCAGTGTTATCAAGCAGTTCAGCCTGTAAAACTACTGGCTTGGGTGACTTAAGTGTTGTCTAACTGCACAGAAACCAGACTTGTTACTGAAGGTGGTTGGTTTGTAGACCAGCTCTTCTGCTTGGCATGAGGTTTATCTGTGGAGCCTCGAAGCTGTTATGATTCAGCTTGGGATGGCTTTCCTGGCCATGCAGCTTGCAGACAGGGACATGGAGATCAAGCTGACAAGCTGAGCCTGGGAGAGAGAGGAAGGGAAGCGGCCTCAATTATGAAAGCGCAAACCTAAAGATCAAGTTGGACGGGACAGAACAGGGGCCTCGGCTGTTGGGAATGAGCTCACACTTCCAGGGACAGGAAACCTTGCTGCAGGAACAGTGCTCCTCATTTACATATTAATATAGCTTATACCATTTTAATCAGACTTCTGGTTGCTAAAGGCATTTTTGCTTTTAAGTAACTTCAAGCCAGGCTTGTTGCTCTAGAAGTTAAAATGATCAGCTGTCTAGACAACAGTGAACTACACCTTGTTCCTTTGTATGGACTCTCAGCACCAGAAATACAGGGTTAGGAAGTAGTTAGATCCAGTCGTGCCCTATTGTGGTGATTGCCTGTATGCATAGTGCTCTGGGTGAAATATCCAAAAATGATTTTCATTAAGTCTGCGGAGCACAAGAGGGAAATTGAAGCATGTTGCAAATAGTTGGACGGCTTCTAAGACCTATTCAAACTCTCCTGGGTAACTGTTACTCCTGAGTAGCAGCGTGTTGCTCTGAGAACTGGTGCTATGGGTAGCAGTGACTGGGTGGGTTCTTTAGAAAAAAACCCAAAAAAAACTAAAAAAAAAACCCAAAAACCCCCACAAACAAACAAAAAACCAAACCAAAACAAATTTCTTGCCAACTCCCTCTAAAACAGTGCTACTGAACTTTGCTGCAGGGGGCAGCTCTGGAGCTTCTGACCCTTAGTCAGTGGCTGGCTTGTTCTCCTCAGCGAAGGGAAGATGATTATCCTTGCTTAAATCCAAGGGCTACTAAGTCACCAGGATTTTAATCCACACTCTTCTAGAGGTTTGTCTTAATTGAGATAATGAGGGGCAGCAGTAAGCGGCAGAGCAAATAACCTGACTCTCACGGGCTCTCTTGCATTCCGTCCTTCCCTCCTTCCCTGCGCTTGGTATCTCTCACAAAGTAGAACTGGAAAGAAACTCTGTCCTGCTGAGGACAGCACTGCAGGTTGTTTAGGAGAAACAAGTATGCTAACCAGGATAGCAAGCTCTCTTGCCTCGGCAAGTGCCAGGACTATCTAGCAAGTTACAATGCCTTTCATCACTGATGCAAATGGAGAGTTTAGAGCCATGGAGGCCATTAGCCTCGTATCTGAGTCCATATAAAGCTAGGGGATGGCTTGGCTCAGCATCAGCTCTATGTTCTTTACAGGTCTTTGCTTGAACCTTTGCACTGCACTCAGGCGTATTGTGCTGTGAAATGCTGCAGTCCTTCATCTCTGCGGCTCTTCATCTGTGCTGGCTCTCAGCTCATCTGTTCCTACTGCTTCTGCTCTGCATGGCACAGGACTTAAGGGTGGCAGCTGTGCTTTAGTGAGCTGCTGAGCTTGCTGCTTTTGTGCTGGGTGTGAGATGCCCAGACACATGCTTACTTGCATCCTATGCTTCCTGGTCTCAAGTTCTGCTGCAGTGACCATTCTCCTTCCTCTCACCAAACTCTCTAATTCAATTTTCTCAGAATTGTGCTTTTCAGCACTTGCATACAGAGTCATCATGTCCTTTTTCCAGTTGAACCTGTGGTTAAACCCAAGGCTACAAAGAGGGGGGGTGAGAAGAATGCTGGCAAATCAAGAAGGAAGAAAAACAAAGGCAAAAACAAGAAGAAAGGGACTCCCTGTGAAATGGAATACAAAAACTTTTGCATCCACGGAGAATGCATATACCTAGAACATCTGCAGATGGTGACCTGCAAGTAAGTTACTTGTTCCTTGTGAATTAGGTGTGATTGCCATAAGCCGGTGGCATATGAGGGCTCAGAGGAAAAATCGGTGTCAACTTGGCCTAAGTCCGTCTCCTGCCGTATTTTGACTGAGAATCTTTCTGCCATGTAAATTAAGTGATGATGGAATCTGAGATGCATAACAAGCCACTGAACTCATCAGTTGGTCATAAACTCAAACCAAAAGAATGAAAAGGCGTGTCTTTCTGGAACATCACACCCAAACTAATCTCGACTTGTTGAAATGCTGACAAACCTTGTGCTAGAGCAGTGACTGCCTTTCATGAACACGCTCTGAAGGGAGCATCTTGACGTTCATGGGAAACTCGGAAGATGTCTAAGTCGGGTTTGATTGTGTGTGGGTGTCCTTGGCTCCAGACAGCACCAAAGCTGATAAGAACATGTGTTAATATTTACTTGCAGGTGTCATCAGGATTTTTTTGGTGAGCGCTGTGGTGAACAGTTCATGAAGACTCAAAGGAAGAATGATGTGGCAGACTACTCCAAGACTGTGTTGGTAGTGGTAGCTGTCTTGCTCTCAAGCATCAGCTTCATTACTGTACTTATCATTGTGATAGTGCAGTAAGTATTATCCTCTTCGGTGTCTGTCTGCCTGAAGTGTGAGTGGGGCCTGTGCCCAATAACCCTGAAATGTGCATGGCTCATCTGAGTTACCTCTGTGAAAAGCATCCAAAAGAGCTGAATTCTTATCCCAGCTCAGATAGATCTGGAGGGTAGACGCAAGGTCTGTGACCCTTATATTGTACACCAAGAGCCTTTCTGCTCTTAGTACAACCAGGATGGTTATAGTGCTGCAGAACATCAGCAGGAAGCCGAGGAGGAGCATTGATGCTGACACAGTAGTGCCTTCCCTAATCCCTGTGGAGGAGCCTGCAAGCAGCCATGCGGCAGCTTGATGCATGGTTATTATCCAACAGCTAGGTACACAGCTGGAGGGAAGGAAATGGTGCTCTGAGAATCCATCTGTTAACAGAGGTTGCTGCGCTTCAATACTTAAACTTAGGAGAAAGCAAACTGGGAGACAAATGCTCTTGGTCCCAAATTCTGCTTGCTGTTAAGATGGAGGGAATAACTATTCCAGCCAAACCAGCTGCTGACAGTTCAGTGTAGTGGGTCATCAGAATCTCGGGGCCTTGTTGTGAATAAATTCAAAAAGCTTTTCTGGGTATGTGTTTCAAGCCATATATCAAACTGAGTATTAGAGCAGCCCTCCCGTTCTGCCACTGCAGCTCCAGCGCTGTAGGCTTGGGATGTTACAGAAACTCAGAGGTTCAGTCTAATTTTAGATCTTGATGAGGTACATCAACTGAATTGGGTACGTGCCGTACCTTTCCTGCATTTCAGGAAACAAGGTGTGCGTTTGTCATTTCAGTGTTGCTTCATATTTAGCTCTGAACTTGAGGAATGCTGGGATGAACACTTGTTCTCTGAACACTGCCTCATTCCTTGCTGCTAGGGGGGATAACCAGTTCTGTTAAGGGCAAGTGATCATCGCTAGTTTCTGGGGCACACTTGCTTCATGTTAGGAACCCTCACAAGCTGTGAGGAGGAAAGCAGTCTGGTCTCTGCAGCTTTTTGCTAAAGCCACCAGGAAATCTGTCACCCAGAAAGTCTCCTGGTGCTTTGCTCAGTCCCAGCAATAAACTCTCTTGATTTTGCCTCCTAATCTGTCTTTAGCCAAGAAGCCCTGTCTCTGTGAGGCAGAACTGCCAGTGTCTAGCTCGGGGGCTTACTGATTTTGTCAGATTACTGCTCGATGCTGAATGCTTAAAAACTGTCTTGAAAACTCCCTGGTGCCAAGGAGTTGCTTGAGGATTCAAAGAACATGAGTCTAAACGCTGCAGAGGATGTGGAGGCAGGTGACAACAGGACATAGATTGTCTCTAACATGCCGTAATTCCACAGGGTCAGGAAAAAGTGTCCTCAGTATGAAGAGAAAGAAGAAAGGAAAAAACTCCGACAAGAAAATAGAAATGGCCATGTTGGTGTGTAAATGGGGAGAAAGCAGGTATGAATGGTGACTTTAAATGCCTTTCAGCCTTTCCAGGCTGCAGTTATCTGTACGAGAGTTGCATGCTTGTTTTGCAAAGCTAATAGTTTGCTTTTAACACTTCAAGTGCCTTGAAACACATAGGTTGCATGTGAAAAGGTGGCTTGGTTTTCTGGTTTCTCAAAACCACTTGAGTGGAGCAAGTTGTTCAACAGCTCTGTTAAATTTCTGGCTGCTGTCTTAAATCCAAGTGAGGATAGGAAGCTGTACTGAGAAAAGGAGAGCTAAGAAGAAAGAGTCCTGAATATCTGGGCAGAGGCAGATTTAGTGCAAGAAACAGTGGTAGGCTTCCATCATAGAAGATGGTGCTGCAGCCAAGTGGGTCATCACCTCTTAGAAGAGAAGTGCAGAGCATTTCCATGTCTTCTGTGCAATGAGAGTGTCAGGAAGTTTCTGGTGCTTAGAAGGTGCAGACCAAAACAAAGCTGCCATCTGTGAGCACCACTGATAGCATCTCAGTCAAGTTTCATACTGTCATAGCAACTGAGGCCTAAAGCTCCTTAGCCTACATGGATTGCTTCTGGGAGTGATCTAATGGATTTTACTGAGCAGGCAAGTTAGTCTCTCTTGAGCCAAAGTATATCAAACAGCAGACTCATGGACCCTTACTGAATAGGAGTTACCTTACCAGCTGAAGGAGGAAGCCGTAAAAGGTAGCCCTGAGAAGTTCTGGCAGAGCTGCGAAGCTTTGCTTTGCCACATGTCAGCCATAGACATTTTCCAGCTTTTCCAGTGACAGTTGGAGGGTTTTGCTCAAAGCTTACTTGAAGCTGAAGAGTATCTGGCAGTGTCCTCAGGTGTGTGCATGCTCTTAACCTACCTGCCTTGCTTGTAGGTTTGCTACGGTTCTAGCACAAAGTGCTCGTGTCTTGGGTGGTGATTAATGTGCCTGGTCTGCCCCTTACAGAACAATTCTGAAGTGGCCATTGCCAACCTGCAGGGTACCTCTGGCTACCTGACACATCCACCTGGACACTGTGGGCTGGACCTGTTGCCACTAAGCCCTGATTCATCAAGGAGATGTCAACAGGCCACTTGCTGCTGAATCGCTTGCTGGGGAGGACAGTTACTGCTGCATCTTGGCACGGCCACGTGGAAGGAGCTGGCACTGTGGGGGACAGGACCTGCTGTCAAGACCTGCGACAGACTACTGCAACTGAGCCTTCCCTATCCCTGCTGGAGCTCCAGTCTCTGCTATGGTGTGGATGGACTTTGCTCTCTTAGCAAGTCTCCTTAGGCAGCTCTAGCTCTAAGGGAGAGAGCCTGTTGCCGCTTTCAGGAATGGATGGAGGGGAGAAAATTTCCTTCTCCCAAAGTGAAAAAGGGAAGAGGTTGGGGTGGCTTCTCTCCCTAGACCTCAGTGGATGAAAACCCCAATTCTGTGTTGTCACTGTGCTCCCTGTCGATACTGGCTTCCAAGAGCTTCATCTCTAGCTGTGACTTGTAGGGAGGGCATTGGTGACAGATCTTTGCCAGCCACACCTGGGTTCTGTTACTGTGTGTGTGGAAGTAATCCCTCGGAGTTCTGTAGGACTCGTGGTGTGAGTGGAGCTATCCGTTTGTGTGTGTGCTAGCCTGGGGTAAAATTAGTCTCCTCAGGATGCTGAGACAGTAAGTGCAGGACCTGAAGTTTGGATCTGAAGGAAAAGGTCCATGCTCAAACCGGCTGATAAGCTTGGACCCATGTGTTCTAAACACAAAGGTACTTCTGTTACCCAGATACTTGTTGCTGCTTTAAGCAGTGCTTAAAGTATAAAATGCTTCACATCAGATCCCATCAGTTAAACTTGACCAAGAACCTGTTCCTCTGAAGAATTAAATTCAGGCACTGGCATCTGCAAGCAATGGTCCCTTGTGCTTTACCTTCTGGTGCGAAGAAATCTTACCTCAATCTTTTCTGACCCAAGTGTCCTTGGTTTCTTAACTGTCCATGCAGTCTTGAGCACGGAGTATTATTTGAGTTCAGTTTCTTCTTGGAAGAGTGATTGTGTTCTGTATAAACAGAGCAGAATTCTTCTGGTAGCAGAAAAACACCATTAATTGTTAAGTCATATCTGTAAATGTGTAAATATTTATTACTGTATTTAATATTTAATGTTTCCATAACAAACTTATTTATTTTATAATTAAACTTTTTACGTAACCTAATCATGGTAAGATTTTTTTTTTGTTCTTGCTCTTGAGAGTACATTGTAATCACTTGAAATTAGAGCCTGGTTTCACCTCAAAGCAGGAATTTCAATGCTTAGGAGCACAAAGTAGGGCTGTGAGGAGCTTGGGTCAAGTATGGGCGCTCTTACAAGAGTGCAAGCTGTTTACTAACACGGTGTAGAAAGGCAAGCGCCTGTTTCAGTAGGAAGTCCATTTCATTCACCTCTAAAGGCATCTTCTACTTGCTGGATTCAGGAGAGGCTAAGTGAGCCATCTCACTGGAAGCAAAAGCTCAAACTGAAGTTGAAACCAACAGGCATCCCTTTGCACTGGACTCCAGAGCTGGGAATATTGAATGGAGAGAGCCTTTCATCTCTGTGGTCAGAGAGAATTTGGACAGCGGCTTGAAACTTGGCCTTAAATAAATGAGGAAAAGCAGCCTAGCCTCAGGCCTGTGACTCCCAAAGCAGAAAGGGAGCCTTGACCTCTAAGGCTGCTTGGAATTTCTTTTCCTCCCCTGTAGTTATTAGTCCAAATGTGTGCTAATGTGCCCTTTAAGCACTTCAAGCAGTGAGCTGGGGTCTAAGTTCAGAGTTGGCTGAAAAAAAAAATGAGTTTAAGGGAGTGAGTTTGGCTTTCAAGTCCCAGCTAAAAAGGAGAGAGAGAACCTTGTTTTTTCTTTACTTTTTTGTAAGTATCTTCAAGAGGTGTTGTTGGCTGTGGCTTAGCCTGAGGCAGAGCCAGGGAAAAAAAAGGCCATTAGGACCCAGGTTGTGTATCCAGTGTAGGACTAGAGCTTATTCCTGGCTGGAGTTGCTGAGATGCCTTGTCCTTGTTCTCTGGAGCTGGCCAAGGAGTTCCCAGGCTCTGAGAGCAGCCAGGACTGTATGTAGCTGAGGTACAGGTAAATGTATTGCAACATCTCTTGGGAAGATGGTGAGACTTCATTCCAGGGAACTTGCTTCATTACCAAAGTAAACAGCACTTCCCTGAGTGGCTTTTCCACAGACATTGACTATCAGAGCTCTGGCAAGAAAAGCTGTTTCTGTCAGTCCTGCCAAGCTTTTTGCTTTGGAGTAAACAAGCTCAATCTTGGTGGTAACCAAACCATGGCCTAGTGAGACTGGGGATGGATTACAACTCCCTTTTGAAACCCATGTGCCTCTTTTTCCAGAAACCTTTCTCTCTACAGTCTGTGTTTTGGGGCAAGTACCAGGTCTTCTATTTGTCAGGCTAAACCAACTCTAGCATAGGCAATGGAGCTGTTCTCCCTCTTTCCTCCCCAGCTTGCAAGCCTGACAGGAGTGAAGATAAGAATGTAACTTGTCAATTCCATCTGTTGTGTACTTTTACTGCTCTGATTACTGAGTGAACTGGAGGATATTTTCCAAAAATTAGCAATTAGGAACTGTGGAAAGGCAACAGTGGAGGGCAGACTTCGTAGAAGACTTGTTCCTTGCTAAGGATTTCTGTTACAGCCAGGTTTTGTGAGAGGTAGCACAGCTAGCAGCTCCATTGCAAACAGTGCTCTGGGTCAGTCACATCCAGCGCTGCTGGATGGCTGGACTGACCAGTGCTCACTAGCACTGCAGAGCTCTTGTGTGCCTGAGAGATGGTGCTGTCCTGCGCTGGGCAGGAAGTGACCTGCGTTCCGTTGCTGAGCACTTTGAAATGCTTGCTGTGTTTGCTGTGTGTGAGAAGTGTAGTGCAGGAGATTGAGGGCTCATCTGGCTTTCCGGGAATGGCGTTGTTCTTTGTAAATCCAGCGCTGATGTACATGACAAAAGTAAAAATTCCCTTGGTTGTGTTTTAGTCAGTTACAGCTTCTTGCAAGAAGTGATGTATTTTTTTCTGCTTGAGCTGTGGCCCCGGCTAATAACAGCTTGCAGCTTCTAATAGAATTGTGAGGCACAAGCACCATCCAGACACTACAGTGTCCAGTGGATTGGCTGCTTAAAAGAAACCACAACAGATGGGTGGAACTGTATGTCTGGAAGTCTCTCGCTGTCCAAGGATGCTGTGCTTTTGTGGCAAGAATCTGATCTGCTGCAGGGCAAGGCCAAAGATAATTTTCATTGTGGATCCTGCACAGCCAGGTCTGCTCCTCTGTATACATCACCTGGCTTTTGACCTTCTCTCCTCACTCTGGAATTACCTGCATTTCCCTGAGCATGCCTGGATTTCTGGTCCCACATTTTATTACTAATAAGTTGTGCCTCCAGATTTTTCTTGACTTTCCATTGGCAATCTTTCTTTGACTGGAGAGCATCTGTGTCCTTGTCACTTGCAGCTGCCTCAGCTGAGACCTGGAGGAGGAGCCTGATATTCTTGCACAATTCTGTGTACACAGGGCTGATTTGGCAAGGTATTTTCAATATCCAGATCAGTATCCAGGGATAATGTGATGGTCATGTGTGCTTGCACAATTCCTTCCTCTTTCCTGAATGTTTTGTTCTCCGTGACTATTGTAGAAAGAACGATAGCTCGTCATGGTGGTGTGCTCTGTTGTGTATTTATGAGCTTTTGAGTGTTTTGCCGTTGTCTATGATCAGAGCAGCTTCCTGTCTGCTGTGGGACTTTGCTTCCCTCCTGCTACCCTCCTCCCAGTATGCCCCTGTTCCCTCTGAGCAGTATCAGATGGTACTTGGAATTTTAGAAGTTTTCTTTTCTGTGGTGAATCCAGATGTGTGTGGACATCACTGAAGGTGTTCATACTGGCTAGCCACAAGTAGATGTTGTGCAGCAGTTTGTTTCATCCACCTTTGAGTTGTTTGATGCCCTTTGCAGTAACTGCAGTTACTGGAGTAACTGGTGTAAAGGTTTGAGTTGTTAAAATACCTTTGGGTGTTTTTTGCAGTAATATACTTACCTGGCCTGTCAGTGCTGCCGATACTTGGGTGAACTACCCAAGCAGGCAGGCCTGAAGTCAAGGCTGTGAAGTGGGACATGTGCTTGCCTCTTCTTGAAGAGGTTTTCCCAATGCCCTAATGGTATGTCTCGCTCCAGAGAGCAATCCTGCAGTCACCTGGCTCCTGAGGCATTCCCCTGTATGGGAAGCCATGGCTGTCCTTGGTGACAGCTGAATGCAGTGAGTGCCCCAAGAGCCAGGGCGGCTGGTCACCGTCTCTGCTGGACTCTGTTCACGGGGGTAGATCAGTGGACAGAAGGGTCAGACTGTCGTTAATGAGCAAACCTGGATTCCTTTTCATTCTGTGCACAAAGGTGTGCATACCTATCATTCCTGTGCTGGTTACACCTTCCATGAGCCAGTAATCCTCCTTTGCTGCAGGTCTGGCTTTGCCTGTGACTCGGGAGTCGCTCGGCTGAGACAGCTACGCCTGTGAATGTCAGAGGGAAACAGCCATTGTTTGCTTGCTGTGGGTCTAGGCCCAAAGCCAAGGAAGCAGGATTTGTGCCTTTCTCAACCAAAGAAGACCTGTGAGGCGGCACATCCTAAGTCCAAGGTAGAGAAATGCTTTCAAAATACATTTCCCTAGTAAGAACAGTAGCGGTTTTGCGTGAGGAACAACAAGTCTTTGTTCATAGACTTTTTGTGTCAGAAAGATGTGAATCACAAAGGTAACCAGTTCTCAGCTGAACATTTTTTGACTGAAATAGTGCAGCCTGTTCTCTTTGTATTTTGGGGCAAAAAGCAAAGCTACGTAGTCTGGGAGTCTGATTTAATCCAGCATTCCCAATACGTCTTTAAGTAGATATCATACCCTCGTTCCAGCATCACGCATCCTAATTCAGATAACACCATCATTGCTTCTAACTACCTTTGGGTGCATGCTTACTGACACTTTGGTCCAGACTTTGGAAAATAGCTTCCTTCTTCGGGTGTGATTTTCCTTACACAGCTGGCAATGAATTTGTATTTGGGCATCAGATAGCAGTCACAGGCTGAATTAATTCATGGGCGATGCTTGAAACCTGCTAGTCTTCCAAAGCGTAAGGAAGTACGTGTTCTTTTCGCTTAGGAAAGGAAACCTCATCAGCATTGCAGGTAACAAGCAGTTAAAAACCCAGTGAAAGAGAAAATACTTTAACATGTTTAAAATGATGAATATATTTTAAAAAGTCTCTATTAGAACACGCACAGCCCCTGTCAGTGCAGGGTCTTAGCATCTCAGAAAAATCTCAGGTTGTACAATGTGCTGGTAGATCTGCCTTCCTCTCCTGGCATCCCTGCTGGGACGGTGATGTGAACTGTTG